CAAAAGTCTTTTGGAAGACTCTGCACTTCTTCATGTCATTACATCACTATCATCATCTGAAACAACACTTCCTGCTTCCCGAGATGCTCACCGGACAGAGCCCTCGTGTTGGGTATAAGAACAAGAAACTAATGAATCTTCCTGCCTCCAGTGAATTTGCATTTTGTTGGGACAGATAATATGGGTACGTAGAAAGAATGTTGTTAGGATGGTTGAATGCGCCTGACAAAATTCCTGAAGTTCAGAGGCGGGGAGAGAGTACTCCAAGTTAGAGTAGCTTACGGAATCTGCCTGAAAGAGACAGAACAAGGTGAGGCCGTGAAGCAAGGACAGGACATGAGGACTTTGAAAGTATGCAGGGGGAGAGAAGTCCAAGCAAGAAGAGTCCGGTTGGATAAGAGCTCTTAGAACTCTTTCAGGGGAGTCAGGCAGGATTTTTAAAATGGATGAGCCTACAAACAGGAAAGGAGAAAGTATGAAGGCTCTCTCATTCATTCTCCAGGAAGAAGTGCTGCTACCCAGGGCACAGCCAGTCCTCCTATCTGTGGTCTGGTGGCTGGAGTGCCAAGAACAACTCAATTTGGGGCTGAGGTTAGTGAGATCACACTTGGCTAACTTTCCTCCAGCCAGATCATGGTTGGAGGAGGCTCTCTGGAAGAGTGTTAAGAAATAAAGTCTCTCTTCTCTTAATGTCTCAACCATACGCTTTCCATCGTCCCTGCCTCTGCCTGGTCTGTAGTAGCAGGGTAAGCTTCTCCTCCTAGGTTTACTCACTTCTTCATCTGATCATTCACAAACCTACCTTGTGATAGACCATGCACCAGGTACTGGGAAGTCAGTGGTGGGCAACCATGATGAAGGCAGAGTTTTAAGGCATAAAATATGGGGAAAGCTAGTGAGAGAGGTCAGGGGAGGTCTGAACTGAGAGGGGGCTGAGGTCTGAAGGAAGTAGTATGAGATAGATCTTGCCAAGTGGAAACCCGGGGGCAAGATCATCGCTCCCAGAGGAGCAGCTCCTCCACCTTCCTTGTGGTGGAAGACAGTGTGACTCACTAGAGGAACCCAGAGAAGGTCAGGGAGAGCAGAGGGCACAGAGGGGTTGGAGGGCAGAGACACAGGCTGAGGCAAGGCCTTGGGGTCAAGGTTATGGGCTTCGGCCTTCAACTTAATTCAAAGTGACAAGGTACCATCAGTGACCCAAAAGAACGGTTTCCTGTGAGGTACCAGGGTTGGCTTCCAGACTGAAATAACATTAGTGTAAGTTTTGCTAGTGTTACCAGCTCAGGTATCAAGTTTTGTGAATGCAAAATTTAAAATACTCTATCTTCCCAAATTAGGTACTAACACTTAGGTGCTATAATTGAAACCTAAAATGATAGTGAAGTGAATGTAGGCCGAGCATATGATGGCCATGCAGATCAGGAAGGAGGTCCCGTCTGTTACTCTCAACCGCATGGTCCAAGATGGCCCCAAAGCCCCACCGGGCTGGCTTCCAGTCTGCAGGGAAGCAGCAAAGGGGGTCCTCAAAGTATGACCAATTCTTTTAACCTGGAAATTGCACACTATTGCTTTTCACATGTCATTGACCAGAATTAATCTCTTGGCCTCTCCTAGCTACAGGGGTTACTGGGAAATAGTCTTTCTCCTAATGCTACTTCTTCTCCTGTGGAGAAAAAAATGAATACTGGGGAAAAGTTGGTAGTCTCTGCCACAGGGTCCAGGCCAGTGAATACAGATGTACAAGCATTCAGTGGGTGCTTACTATAGACCGTGCCCTGTGCTGGGTGCAGAGCTATGAAAATGAATGAGATACAGCAACTACCATAAAGCACCTCAAAATCTGCTATAGTGGAGCTCAAACTCGGCAGTGTATTAGAGTCATATGGGGAGGTATTAAATATCTTGACACTCAGGTCTCATCTCCTCCCAACGAAATCAGAATCTCAGAGAGACTCCATTATCGGCATTTCTTAAAACTCCCCCAGGCACAGCCGGTTTCTCTCTACTGGTTTAGTGGGGAAGAAAGAGCTGAGCTAACAGCTCCACTGCAAGGTAATGAGCACTCTAGCAGGGAAAGGCATAGTCCTCCGTGCGGGAACAGTGAGCCAGGTGACCCCCGCGGAGAGACAGGCTCCTCAGAGAAGCCTGCGCAAGAGGTGAGACATGGACAGTTTTTACATGGGCAGTTTTCCGTCAGTGACAATTTACCAAATGAGCACAGCTGGAAAGACCTTCCCACAGAGAAAGGGGCATGTGCACAGGCACGGGTCTGTGAGCCATTTTTGGAATTCCTGCATAAGCAGAAATCTTTTCTCCAAATGATACTGGGCCACAGGCCAGAGTGCAGATTACAGTACCTGAAAACAACTTCAACCTGTAAATGACTAAATAGTTAACATTGTATACTTATTTCCCTGCTACTGCTTAAACACACTGGACCAACGAGTTCCCGAGGACACCTCTGTGTGGCATACCCCAGCTATGGGTTGAGGAGGTAGGATGTCTTTCTGTGGGCTACAGCAAGGGCATCAACCAAACAGAATGAATGCCAGCTTGACAAGGGACCCCGTGGAGCATGGGAAAGCCAGCCATTGCCAGCCTTGCAGGATGTCAGAGGTGAAGGGTGGAGGTGTGGTGTGGAACGCTAAATCATCAGTGGAGTGGGGCAAGAGTAAAGGAAGAAAGGGATACGTATTACAGACATCAGGAATCAGGCCGGTGTTGTGGCATAGTAGGCTTAGCCTCCGCCTATGGGCACCAGTTCAAGACCTGATTGTTCCACTTCAAATCCAGCTCCCTGCTAACGCCCCTGGAAAAGCAGCAGAAGATGGCCTAAGTCCTCAGGCCCCTGCACCCATGTGGGAGACCCAGAAGAAGCTCCGGACTCCTAGCTTCGGCCTGGCTCAGCCCAGACCCTTGCAGCCATTTGGGGAGTAAATCTGCAGGTGGGGAAGATCTCTGTCTCTCCCTCCCTCCCTCTGTAACTCTGTTGAAGGAAGGAAGGAAGAAAGTCAAGAGACAAAAGAGAGGCCCTCAAAATGCTATAGTCTGAAGCCCCTCAAATCAAATCGTTTGGAAGTTTCTCTGTAGCCCCATTCAGTGTGCGCCTCAGGCCGAGCTTGTGCAAACTCCCAGTATGGCTGCAGTGTTCTAGCTGAACCGCTGACTGCTCCGGAGGAGAGAGAAATGCAGCCCAGAATGAAGGAATGGGATTTCGCCCGTGAACGCTCACAGCTGGCCCAGGAGAGGAAGGTGCAGGAAGAGCGCCTATGTCAGGCTCAGCTCGGGCCCCTTACCCCAGAGGAGAAGTGGACAATAGGAGGCCATTGTGTATCCAATCAGCTCTCAATTATCCGGGGGCAGATTCTCCCCTCTGTGGGTCCCCCCTTCTCCCTTTGAGTTCCCTCCAGCTGTCTGCCCTTTGACCGTCTTCCTGCCCATCAGAGCCCCAGTCAGAGGGTGGGCAGGTGGAGGAAGGGAAGGAAGTAAAATTCAGATCAGTCATTTTATAGCTGCTCCTTAGACATTCTTGCAACAGAGGGAGAGTCGTAGGCTAAACCAACATTGGGTTTATTTGGGGTTTTAATTTATCAGAGTCTGCCTCATCCTTCATTAGCATGGATAATTGGTAATTGGTTAAGTGATATTTATTCAATCTGTGGCGCCTCTGCTATTGTATCTGCCTTGTATCATTTAAAAAATAGTCTGCACTAGTAAAAGCTATACTGAAATGATTTTCTGAATGCACTTAGAGCTCTGCTATTTTAGCATAAAACTTGCATCTGCATTCCTTGTTTGTGCGAGGAGGGGGTTGCAAGTAGCTGCAGTGGCCACAGATATGTGGGGTTCATTCTCGTTGGAATAATCAAGCCAACACCTTAAAGTTATGTTTATCTCACGTTCAAGTATAAGACATCCAGATTTGTGGGAGGGGGCGCATCTAAAGATGTGCTCTGAGGTTTCTGTGTGGTCAGGACGAAGGCAGGGTCTCGGGTTCTGATCCCTTTCCTATCAGCAGCCGCCGACTTTGGACATCTTCGCTTATTCACTTGCACAGAACAAAGGTAATTCTTGTCCTTACTGGTGTTTTAAAAAATGGGACTAATTCCTGTCTATACAGAAAATAAGTCATTAAGTTAATGTTTTGAGTCTTTGAAGTTCCCGCCTATACTCCATTTAAATTCATAGCAGAGCCACAGAACCCTGAAACTCATTTGGCAGTTTGTAAAAAGAAAGTATGTGAGAAGTAGGAAACAAGTTAGAAGAAGAAAGGCTTTCAATTGCATAAAACGAGCTCTTCCAAGACTGATTTGTCCACTCATTATTTGATAGATGCGGCTATAGTATGTGCCAACCAGCAGCAGTAGTCTAACCTTCCAGCAGACTTGTCTTGGGTTATGCTGGATTGGCAATCTTCGTGCTTTTGATAGAGGGATTTTTTACAGGGCTCCTGAAACAGCCGGTTGAAATCATAAGATCGCCCTATTTCTGAGCTAGAACCTTCTGCTAGGTGTAGCCAGGACACGAACTGTGTGGCAGGCGGTCTGAATAGACAAGTTCCCAGCCTGTCACAAGGTATGGAAGTGCTGCCTCCCGTTTGGGCATGGCAGCAAACATTCGGATTGCTCTTTCCATGCTAATTAAATAAAATATGACTAATTAAATGTCATAATGCATGATGTAAACTTGTTAATGTCAGGGGAGATCTTTAAAAACAACTATCAAGATGAGCAAATTTGTCACATGTCAGCATTTTTAGTTAATTTTCCGTGGTAAATAAGCAAATTTTATTTAAGAACTTCGAAAACGGTCTGGCGATGTGATTAGGGCATCCTATATTTTGTGCCTGATTAGGCTGTGGCTTGCAGGAGGCGCTGGAGAGTCTCTTCTGAAGAGTTAACCACCCATTTTTTCAATTAAGCATAATGTTATGTTAACGTCCTTAAAGAGGTAAATGATGGCACAGTAAATCCAATTAGAATACATACTTACAACTGGATTCTCTTGCAATTTTCAAAAAGCTGATTGCATTTTACATCTTCCCTGCTATTGTCGGAGCGGTTCTACCACCAGTGGCTGCACCCCCGCCTGGTGTCTGAGTCTCTGCGTGGTGACCTTTGCTGTAAGAGCTGCCGCAGACATCACAAACTCTCACATCAATTTGCCACAATTGGATGTGGCATCTTGCGGCTAATTTGATTTGGGAAGAAATGCACCTGGCTCTGTTTTTTCCCTATAGAATGTGGAGGGAGTTCTGAGTCCTCACAGATGCCATCTAAGCGAGGAGCCCATGTGTTTTTCAAGGTCTAAGCAGTTTGTCTTCATCTCCCCAAATACAACCCATTACAAAGGGAGAGGAGCTGAATTATTTAATGCAAAAATAAATTAGATTGGGCCTGGGGAGGGAGGAAGAGAAACCAAATGAACTGGAAAATACAACTCTTGCTCTGACTTCCAGTCTTCTCCCTTAAAAGAGAAGCACGCCCTTTTTATTTGGCTATTCAACTCTGCTTCGCTTTGTTTTTCTCAGATCAATTAAACTTAACTTCCCCCATATCAGAACTCTAAAGAAACGTTAACCTGTCGAATTCATACTATTCAAAAGAAATTCAAACGCATCAATGTAGTTCTGTAGATTTTTTTTTAAGATTCAAGCTGTTTTGAGGCTTTAGAAAATAGGTAAAATGGTAATGTGCTTAATCTATTATTGATAAATTTGAATACATCAAAGGGCTGCTGTTGAAGGAAAAATACAAGTCTCAGGCCATTTATTCAGTGACCCATATTTTATTTCAATTATACTCCAGATATTGAAGAATAAAACAATCAACAGCAACAACAAAACCTGCCTTATAGGTATGATTGACAGTGAATATGCAAGGATCCTCTGAAAGTAAGGGAAGGGAAGAATTCTGCGCATTTGCCCCAGTAATGTCACACATCAGGCTTTAAATGGAAGGGGCGTTCCTGGAGAAGTAAACGTTCACTGAGCTGCTCTCTCCAAGGATGGCTCACACCTTGCTTATGTCCTATTGCTATAAGGATATATAACGTGGCTTATGTGAAAGTAAGCTGGGGGCATTCTTTGGGAAAAAGAAACCTAGAGGTGTCTTATACAAAGAGAATATGTCTAATTCTTTCTAAGATTTGTTTAGTTTATCTGAGAGGCAGACAGACGACAGAGCTCCTAACCATTGACTGACTCTTCAAATACCAGATGGGAGTCAGGAATTCCATCTGGATCGCCCCCATGCGTACTAGAGACCCAACTACTTGAATCCTCACTGTTGCCTCCCGGGATACACATTAGCAGGAACTTGGAAAACCAGGAATGGAACCAGGACTCTAACCCAATGCTTCAATATGGGATGCGAGGATCCCAACCAGTGGCTTAACCACCAGGCCAAACACCTGCCCCTAAATCTGTTTTTCTTAGCCTGAAGAATGAGTCTATCTTGGGTCAAAAGCAAATCTGAGGTGGTTTTACACACAACTCCAGTTCTGAGGATCTAACTTCAACCACAAAGGCCCATGTTTGAATTAAAGACAGAGTTGGAATTTGAGTGATTTCTGTCAGGGAAAAGAAACGAGCTGTCACTGTAAACAACATGAAGGCAAGGCAAGGCAAGAAACATGCTGACGCTGCTGTCCCCTCTTGCCCACATCCCTAGTGCCAAGTCTGCAATTGAGGCTCAGTTACACGAACCAGTGACGGAAGCTATGTGATTTCAACACTCAGTTTCCCTGTGCGTAGAGAGACTCAGCCTAACTATGCCCATGAGCTGTCAACTGCTAAGCAAAGGATTCATAAACTTACTGGACGGTCTGTTTTTTTTACTTCAAAGATGGGGCGCATATGATGTGGTTATCACAGTGTCCTTGCATCCTTTCACTTCTGCTTCCTCTGTGTCTTAGACAGAAGGCTTTACAGGAACATCCATAATTGCAGAGATAAAGGGCAACTCATTTTGGGCTGGTGAGCCCGAGAGGTGATGTCATTTCCAACGAAAGGTGGAAGGCATGGAAGAATTCAGAGCCAGGAAGCAGGAAGCAAAATCCAATTAAGTTCCCAGAACTCGCCCCACCTCAATGCTACCGTTACCAAAAGTCCTTAGATTGCAACTTCATTATTTTTGCTGAACTTGTGGGAATTTGCAGATTATTAGAGAGCCCCAGATCCAAAAGCCAGTGGACATTCTAAAGCAAGCCACCATTTTGTGTAATTTTCCATTTGAGTTTATTGGAGCCACAACTCATTTCCAAGAGACCCAGTGACCTAGAGGGGAAAAGATTCTGAAGAATTGCTTTAACTCTTCAGAGCCTACTGCCAAGTACAGACTCAATAAATATTCAAGTGAGTAATCCATCAGTCAATCATTCCGTACAGAATCTAGCAGTGTTGCCTCAGGAGAGGTTAAGTGCATGTAGCAGAAATCAAGGTCCAGGTTGACTGTCTGAAATACTCGGGACAGTAAGCGATTCAAATTTCAGAGCATTTCAGATTGCAGATTTGGGGATTAAGATGTTTCCTACAGTGGCTTAAACCCAGAAAAAGTTGATTTCACTGTCATGTAGAGTCCTGGTGGCGAACAGGATGAGGCTGAAACAGACAGCAGTTCTGTATGTCCTCTGAGACACAGGCTGCTGTCTTTGTACAGCTGTTCTGAGGGTATGGTTTGTAGCTTCAGGTATTAGAATGCTGCTGGAGCCACAACCATCATCTTCAAGGTGAAGGCCGGAAGATAGGCAGGCAGAGGGGCAAAAAGGGAGCCCGTGGAAGCTGAGGCGCTGCCCTTGAGCAGCTTAGAAGCTCTTACTATAATTCAACTTCTTTTACCACCTCAAGCGCAGTCCTGTAGCCACACCTCGCTGCAAAAGTGAATTGAAAATGCAATCTTTTTTCTAAGCTTGGAATTCAAGTTCTAGTTCTAAGGAAGAGAGGGAGAATGAATATTAGGTTAGACAGTAGCAGTATCTCCTACAGTGGCATATACCCAATGCCTTCCTCTATGTTCTGTTGCTATAACCTAATACCGCAGACCGGGTAATTAATAAAGTTTCATTTAGCTCACAGTTCTGGAGGCTGGAAAGTCCAATATCAAAGTTCCAGTCTCTTGTGAAGCCTTCCTGCTACATCATGACATGGCCGAGTATATCACTAGCATGTCAGAGCAAAACTGCCAACTCAGCTCTCTCTTCTAAAATCACCAATACCAGGGCGGCTGGTGTGGCACAATGGGTTAAGCCACCTCCTGGTGCACTAACATCCAATATAAGACTGCCTCATTCTAGTCCCAGCTCCTCCACTTCTGATCCAGCTTCCTGCTAATACACCTAGGAAGACCATAGGTGATGGCCTAAGTCCTTGTGTCCCTGCCACTTACATGGGAGACCTGGATGAGTTCTGGACTCCAGCTTCAGCCCTTCCCTTGGGTGTTGTGGGCATTTGGGGAGTGTACCAGCAAATGGAAGATCTGTGTGTTTGTGTGTGTGTGTGTGTGTGTGTCCCTCTCTCTGTTGCTCTCCCTTGCAAATAAGTAAATTTTAACAAAAAATAAATAAACAAATAAAATAACCAAAGACATCACAGAGACTCTACCCTCACGTTCTCATCTAATCCTGGTTACCCTTCAAGGACCTTAACCTCCAAACACCATGGACTTTGGGGAGTAAACTCTCAACATGCAGGTGCCAGGGACACACCCAACCATAGCTCCCTGCAGAAGTTTGTAAAGGAAGATGAATGGATTTCTTCATTCAGCCTGATCTTTCATTTCCTCCAAATACCTGTGTGGGGAAGGAGAGGAAGAGGCAAATGGCTTGCTTAAGCATAGCTAAAACAAGGTTGCTCTGTGTCAAGCACCATTATCAACACTTCTCCTATAGTAATTCCTTTAATCCTAACAATTCAACTCCCATCCTCTCTTCTTCCCCTTCATTTCATAGTTAACATGTTCTCTACTTATGGTTCATACAATGCTAAATTTTTTGTATAATGGTTTCATTTGTGTTAGATAATTCAAAGGAATAGAAAGTAGAGAAACTTAAAGAAAATATACTTTTTGGATGAAATAACTCAACATATAACTTTGCCCCCCTCCTAGTTATAGCGAGATATTTATGAATCTCAAAGCTAAATTTTAAATTTTTTTTCATTAGTTTTACTTATTTGAAAGGCAGAGAAGAGAGAGAGAAAGAAAGAGAGAGAGAAAGAGAGAGAGAGAGAAAGAAAGAGATGGCCATCCACTGGTTCACTCCCCAAATGCCAGCAACTCCTGGGTAGGGGCCAGGCCAAAGCTAGGAGCCGGAAACTCAATCCAGGTCTCCCATGTGGGTTGCAACTCAACTCCTTGAACCATCATCACTGACTTCCAGAGTCTGCCTTAGCAAGATGATGCAATCAGGAGTAAAGCCAGAACTTGAACCTAGGCACTGCAATATGGGATGCAGCCACCCCACGTGACATTCTAACCTCTAGGCCAAATACCCACCCTTCAAAGCTAAATTTTTAATGGTCAATCCATTGTCCTAAAGGTACACCACCCACCATGCTAATGGCCCTACAGCCATGTGGGCTGTAATTTCTGATGGTTACATTCTAGTTTCTCCCTTCTTCCTTGTTTATACCATCTCTTCAGGAAAACAGAGGGGTACACTAACCCCTAAACACATTCGCAGGGTCTTCTTTAATCTGTTCTCTTGTTGACTTCTCCTCACCCTGTAATGCCTTCCACTCTGCCCCTTGCCTGTGTTAATGCTCAGCGTCCTTGAAGATCATCTCAAATCCTACCTATAAACTCCTCACCCACAGGCTTCCTTCTCCTACAACGTTCCACACAGCAGTAAATGCCATCATCATCCAGTTAGCTTCTTCCCTGTTTTCTACCCTCCATTGATCCTCTGCACATATCCTATTTATTTAAGCTTCAGATATGCCTTGAATCCATTCTCTTGTGCATCTCCACTGCCGTCACCTTCCCTGGGCTAGCACAATATATTTTCTGAGCTGGTCTCCCCACGAACATAAGCGTTCTTTGGGCTACTTATTAATCTATTTGTTTCTCACTTTTTAAATCTAATTTGAGTTGCTGGGGCCTGGGCTCTGAAAACCATATTTCTGCTTTGCCTGCTGGCCTCTGTCAGATTCTATCACTAGGGGCTCCAAAAGACTCAAAGTAGAAGACAGAGAGACAGAGACAGACAGACAGACAGAGAGAGAGTCTTACTCCTTCCTGTCTGCTCCCTGCCCCTGTCAATAAGACCACAATGCTAGAGGTTTTGGCACTAGCTAGGAATGCCCTATCTTCACAGATTGAACCTGCTTCTCTTTGGCTTCTTCTCTGAGTTCCTGAGGTATCAACACAACTGGGCAGTGAGTGTCTTTTCTAAAAGGCTTGAGTTCCAGCTCCACAGAGCAGCCAAGCTTCTAAGTTCTTAGAACCCCAACTTCTTTTCTTTGTTCCCCGGCCCCTGAGAATAGTAGTTGTCTCCTGTAGTTAGTTGCTACTCATATCCCTGGGTTATCCTCATTGCCTCTTCAGGGATCTAATACCTGTGCAACTGACTCGCTATATAAAATTCTCACAGCCAAAATTACTACCGTAGTTTACAATGTCTGGACTGGATCCTAACAGGTCACTCTTCTGTCCATTGTCATCACACTGCAGCCAACATGATCTTTTGGATATACAAATCTGATTAGGCCAATCCTGTGCTTCATATCCCATGCTGATATCCCATTGCTGCCAAGATAAAGTCCAAATCCTTACTCTGTCTTACAAGGTCTTTGGGTTCATTCAACAATCAAAGGATTATGGCAGATGATGTGCTGCTCTGCCCCGATCACCCCTTCAGGACAGAATCTCCAGCTACCAGGAGTGATGGTCACTGATGACCCCTGAGTGTGTCCCTCTCTGTGAATTAGCCTTGATTAAAGGAAAAGGACTCGCCAGAGGTTCTGCAGTCCTCCCCAGGAGCACTCACATTCAAATGACCTGGCATTCAGAGTGACTACAGCCCTGGCCACCCTACTTCCATTCAGGACAATTCTGCTGGGGCAAGCCAGCCCCAGAGCTGCCTCTAGAATTGCCTGGGGTCTCTATCCAACCACATGACAATTTAACATCACCCTCTGCGAAGTCTGCTTCCCTCACTCTATAGGCATTATCCTGAGAAGACTCTTCTATAAAGCTCACTTGCAGAATTTTTTTTTCCTTCGGGACTCAACACAGCCAATTGGTACCAAGAATGATCCCATGAGGCAAATTCTAAAAGTGGGTGGTTAGATCACCCACTAGCTGGCTGATGATGAGGACTCCAACATTGGTGGTAGGTGGAATTATGGCTAGCCCTTAGTATTCTGAAACAGTGCAATTGTTAAAATGTTCACAGTAGTAAGAAGTGAGATACTGGTGTTAAGGGATGGATTTTTGGGTGTCATATCAGGCATTCAAGTGATTCAGGGGAAATGGTAAGAAAAAAAAAAACAAGGACTAAGGAATCTGATGGCTATTAACCTATTGATGGACTGAGGAAAACAAAGAAAGGCTGAGAGTGATTCACCACCAAGTTAAGTGAATTGTGAGAGTCAAAGGGTCTCTCCTTGGCAGCTTATTGAGTGACTGGCATTTCTTGAAGCTAGAGGACAGGAAAAGCTCAGGACCCAGGAAGTACAACAGCAAGGAAACGCCAGAGAATGTTGAATCTTTAAACCTAGCAATTCTGTGACACCAAGCTTGGGGCCTAGGAGGGATGGAGTGGTACCAGGAGATTTGGTCCGTACCCTCTAGAACACTAACACTCTGCATCTTGCCAGGAGGGCCCGACCTACAGAGAGGTATGAGGATAGTTAATAAAATATGGTATACCTAAAGGCAAAATAGATGCCTGCAAGGTTTTGCCCAATTTATACAATAAAAAGAAATCAAAAATGGAGAATCAGGAGATTGGGAGCAGGTGCCTATGTAAGATAACAGTTATGATATCTATTTTTTAACTTGAACCAGTTCTCAGATCCAGAGCCCATTAACTGAAAGACCCATGAGAAAGGGCTGTTAGGCAAAGGATTCATATTTTGTGCACTACACCTCCAGGGCCCTGAAATATTATGGCTGCCCTGTCAGAGTAAGGGCATACGGGAGCTAAGTAAGCCCTGGCCTAGGTCTGGCTTACAGTGAGTCCATCCACTAAGTCCATAAACTTATCTGATGGTTATTTCCTTGGCCCCAAGTGTATAACTGGAATGGATATGTTTGGAAGTTGGCAGACTTCTACATGGGTTACTTGGCCAATGGTGTAAGAGCTGTCATAGTGGGGAAGCCCCTGAAACTGGCTTACCCAACCAAAACAGCAAATGAAAAATAATATCACATCCTGGGAAGAGTGTTAGAGACTAGTGCTGCCCCAAGACCTACTGATGTGGTCCCCACAAAAATCAGATGGATCCTAGTGCATAACAGTGGGCAACTGCAACGTTAGCCAAGTAGAGTGTCTTATCACAACTGTTGTTCCAGGTGTGGTAGGACAACATCTTACTGGAGCAGATTTGTGGATGTATTCTCCAACCATTTGAAGAAGGGGGATCAAAACCTGCTTGCATTTTATGAAGTGGACATTAGTGGATTTTTATAGATTCTGCCCTATGTCATAATACATTCCAAAGGAATCTGGACCATCTGCACATTCCAATGACATCATGTTAATCAGACTAGACCAGCAAGAAGGAGCAAATATGGAGGCTTCGGTAAGACCCCTCTTCTTTAGAGAGTAGATAATCCCTGGGAAGATTCATGAGCCTAACACACAGATGAGTTTTCTTATGGTCCAGTAATCATCCAGGGCATTTGAAGAAATCCTTTCCAAAGGATACCTCTTGGACCTCCACCTCTAGGAAGAAAGTCTCATGCCTTATAAATTCCTGGAAAAAAGCATATTACACACTTTTGAGTATCACTCACAATTAATTTACTAAATGATGTGGAAGACTGCCAGTTTCTTGCAGAGCCCAGAGCAGGAAAGAGCTCTGCAGTGGGTCCAGGTTCTGGTGCAAGAAGCTCTGCCAATCAGATCATTATAACCTGGTGGACTGTATGCTGGAAATGTCTTTCTAAAAATGTTTTATTTACTTATTTTCATCTACTTGAAAGGCAGAGAGAGAGAGAGAGCAAGCTTTCATCTACTAAGTCATTCCTCAAATGCCCACAGACAGGGCTAGGACAGGCTGAAGTCAGGAGCCCAGAACTCTATTGAGTCTCCTATAGGGTAGCAGGGACCCAAGCACTTGAGCCATCATCTGCTGCCTCCCACAATGCATTAGCAGGAAACTGGATTGGAAGTGGATTGACATGGCCTGCGCCGCGGCTCACTAGGCTAATCCTCCGCCTTGCGGCGCTGGCACACCAGGTTCTAGTCCCCGTCGGGGCGCCGGATTCTGTCCCGGTTGCCACTCTTCCAGGCCAGCTCTCTGCTATGGCCCAGGAGTGCAGTGGAGGATGGCCCAAGTACTTGGGCCCTGCACCCCATGGGAGACCAGGATAAGTACCCGGCTCCTGCCATTGGATCAACGCGGTGCGCTGGCCACGGCAGCCATTGGAGGGTAAACCAAGGGAAAAGGAAGACCTTTCTCTCTGTCTCTCTCTCACTGTCCACTCTGCCTGTCAAAAAAAAAAAAAAATGAAGTGGACTGACTAAGACATCAACCAGCAACCAGCAGTCCTTCAGGGATGTGGGTATTTGAAGTAGCAGCTTAATTGTGCCACAACACCTGCCCCTAGAAGTACCTTATGTTGAGAGAGAATTCTCCATGGGTCTTTTGTGGTTTTGTATGTTATGTGAATGAAGCACCATCTTCCCTTTGTTCTGGACTACCATGTCAAGGATGTTTGTATAGCAAAAAGTCTTGGGAATAGAAACAGTGTCTGCACCTTGAGCAGTAAGCAGATTTTCCTTTGGTTTCAGAAAACAGAAATAACGTCTTCTGGGGCAGGAATTTGATGTAGTTGTTGTTAACATACCACTTGGGATGCCTGCATCCCATCCCAGAGTTTGAATCAGACCTCCACTTCTGATCTAGTTTCCTGCAAATGTGTACCCTAGGGAGTGGAAGGTTCAAGTACTTGGATCCCTCTCATCCACGGGGGAAACCAGAATGGCCCAGTCCTAGATGTTGTGGGCATTTAGGGGAGTGAGCCAGTGGATGGAAGATCTCTCTATCTATCTATTTCTATCTCTATCTCTCCCACTTTCAAATAAATAAACTTTTAAAAATTTTTAAAGAATGTCCTTTCCTAGATCATAGTTTCCTTGCACCATGGAAGATAGAGACAGTACCTTCCTCTAGCGGAATTGGCAAGCCTGCTTACTGCCCATTATAAAAGAGTTGGGTTCCCTAAACTCAGAGTTCCTCCACAACCCACAACCCACAGTGCATGCGGGTGTGATTTGAATCTCTTTCCATTACTTCATGGGAACTGGAGCTCAGGAAAGAAGTACAAAAATTCTGATACTGTACCTGTTGCTAGTGCTGTAAGAAACTGCTCTTTATCTCTGACCCAGTATTTTCATTTCTTACACCAGCATCTATAAAACTTTGGTAGGCTAACTTGTTAGCTTACGAATAAGACAAATATCAAACCCTTTAGAGTTCTTAGTACTGCAGAGAGAACAGATGCTGTGTGAAGTTTATGGAAAATGCCATTAGAATCATAATATAGACACACACACACACACACACAGAGATTTTCAGAAATTGATTCACACAATTATAGGTGCTGGCAAGTCTGAAACATATAGATAAAGCAGGCCCACAGATTAGAAATTCAGAGAAGAATTGACATTGCAGTCTTGAGTTTTAATTCCACATGGCAACAGGCTGGAAACCCAGACAGGGTTTTAAGATTGATGGTGCAACCTTAAGGAGAATGTCTCTTGGTCTGGCAACCTCTGTCTATGTTCTGAAAGCCTTGGACTGATTGTGTGAGGGCCACTCATATTACAGACGCTTTGTAAAAACTCTGCTGATTTAAATGTTCACCACACTCTCACAGCAACATCCATCATGGTGGTTGACCAAACAACTGGGCACCATAACCAACTAAATTGACATCTAAAGTGAACCATCACACCACCCAGCTCTATAGCTCACCATGGGAATGACAGAGTCCTCCATTTTCATTGCCTTTCTGGGCTGCCTTTCCCCCACCCTCTCACACCCTTATTGGTGTTGTTCCTGAGTGCACCACATGTGTCTCCTTGTGTGAGTCTGTTTTCTGGGAATTCTGACATAAGACAAAGATACAGAACTGAACACCCAGAGTTATTACCAAGTCCGAATTGGAAACAAACCCCCAAAGATCTAGTTACTTTTTCCAATACTTGAAATCTCACACTTTTTG